GGAAGGGGGGGGAGGAGGGGGAAGGCCCAGGAGACAAAGGCACCCCATCTTTTCCTTCCCTTCCCTGTGAGCGCCAGGCTGGAACATGCCATAGGGTCCTTGGCTGAAGGTGTTTGACATGATATCCTGGCTTTCCTCCTGCATTTGAGGTTGGCCCGGCTGTGAGGGGAGAGCATGGTCTGTGAATGTGGCTCACCTCAGCCTGGCTTTGAACTTCTCTGAGGCTCCGCAACTTCCTGCTGTGGGACCTGGGGAACAGGCTGGGGAAAGAGCCCTAAAGTTTCCAGTGTGGCTGCTGGGCTTTGTAGGCAGGCCCCAGCTCGGATCTGATCCGCTGACACTCAAGACACTGGGGTGTGACCGTGACTCTGTTTCCCCCCAAGGCTGGCAGATGTGTTTTATAATCAGTCAAGCCTCAGTGTTGACTGAATAATTGCTTAAAACAAGTGATGTCCAAGTGATGCCTGGTGCAAAACCCATCACAGGCGAGGTGGTGGGGCTGCCTGGTGGCCCGTTTGTCCTCTGTCCATCTGTCTCTCTGTCCATCTGTCCTTGTGCTACCCTGGAAGGAGGGCGGCTGGTGCTGGCCCTGTTGGTGTGGCGGGTGGCCTGGCGGGAAGCAGCCCTGCCTCTGACAGCTTGCTGGGCTGTGCTTCCTAAGTCTGCTGCCTGTGGGGGAGGCGGTGGTTACTCACTTCCTGGTGCTGGGAAGTCCTCAGCCGGACAGGGTGCAGCCTGCTTCCTGGCACGGCTCCTGCCCTCTTTCCCTGGGACTGACTGCTGGCTCTGACTGCGCCCCTCCCCAGGCCTGGGACCCCTCACCAAGACCCCACTTCCCACACGCAGCTGCCTGAGGACTGAACTAGAGCCCGTGAGCGCCCCATCTTCGTCAGGAGCCCAGGCTGCAGGGAGCTCCTCCTGTGGATGCAGGAGTCGGGCTGGGCTAGGACCTGCTCTCAGTTGCAGGGTCACTGGTTGAGTGTTTGGGGAGTAGATGTGGGGCAGCGGCAGAAGGACCCAGGGTGGGCCCCACTGGATCTGCTCTCTCTGTCTCAAATCCAGGTTCCATCTCACTGGCCACTGGAGGTGGTGTGGTGGCCCCCCCGCCCAGAGATGTAGAGGGGGGTGGGCCCTGGGTAGGGCCTTCTGCTACGGGCTGGCCCAGTGTCCGGGCCCCTGGACCCTTGTCCTTGCTTCTCAGATGTCCTTCCCCACACTCTCTCCACTGTGCCTCACTGCTGCTTGTGGCCCTGCCCTCCCAGGTGCCCTTTGGCTGCCCACGGGCTGGGGTCCTCCTTCCCTCTGGCCACTTGCTGCGGGGTGACCCTGCACCTAAACTCCCTGTCTGGACACGCGCTTTCATGGTGCAGAAGTCACACCCGAGGGAAGGTCGTGAGGCTCCGATGAGACCACTGACAGGAGGCAACAGGTGAAGCAACAGGCATGGGCAGGGCCTGCACATCAGGTCGACTGACTCTAAGCCCAGAGCTGCTGTTCACGGCCTGCAGGAACTTGGGCAGGAGCCAGGTTCCCTGTGGGAAAATGGGAATACCGATAAATCTGCCACAGGGCCGCTGGGGAGGGCCAGGTAGGACTGTCCACCCTCGTGGACAGTGCTCCTTTCTGGCAGTGGCTAACAAGCCCGCCTCCTGTCCCCCACTGTTAAAAAAATCCAGAAGAAACACTCACAACATAAAGCTATGAGTTTTTCAGCGTATGATGTCTTTTGTGGAATTCACAACGCTGTGTTTCATTATCACTTCTAGCTAGATCCAGAGCATTTCATTAGCCACAAAGGAGACCTTACTATACAGTCATCCCCACCCGCTTTCACCCCAGACCCTGGCCACCATATAATATGTGAGCCTTCAGGTCTGGCTTATTTTACTTTGCCAGACATCTTGCCAGGTGCACCCATGTTACAGCATGTAGCGGTGCTTCACTCCTTTTCTCAGCTGAGTAATATTCCACCATGTGGATGTACCATGCATTGATGATCTGCTCGCTAGCCAAAGGCATCTGGGCTATTGGCACCTTTTGCTTCTGGTGATGGATGCTGTTCTGAACTTTCACGTGGAAGTCTTCAAGTATCTGCTTCAGTTCTTTGGAAATAGACCCAGTGGTGTTGCTGGCTTGCATGCTAACTCTGTGCTTAGCTTTTTGAGGAACAGCCAGAGGATTTCCATGCACAGCCCCGTTTGACAGCCCCCAGCAGAGCCTCTCTTCTCCTGTTCACAGGCGTAGACACAGCTCGCTAGTTCTGGGAGGACCCTGGGGGCACTGACTTCCCGCCTCTAGCTGCACATGTCCTTCTTCCCTGTCCCCAGCGTGCTGTGGACTGTCCTGAAACTGGGCTCCCATCCAGCCTTAGAAGGAGGCGGAGAGGCTGAGAGAGCAGCCTGGGGCCACCCCACTAATGAGCAGCCTAGGAGGACCAAGAGGCAGCCCTGCTGACCTCAACCCGGCCTGCGCCCTGGAGTGCGGCCTGCCCATGCCAGCACCTTCCCGGCAGGCCGCACTGCAGACTGATCCTGATCCAGCCTGAACCCAGTACTGTGGCCTCCCTGACAGGAACACTAAATGCGCAGCACCGCGGGGTGGGGTGGGTGGGTGTTGCTCTGCAGGGGGTGCCCCCCCAGGTCACAACCCCCAACAGGAGGCAACAGGTGAAGCAACAGGCATGGGCAGGGCCTACACATCAGGTCGACTGACTCTAAGCCCAGAGCTGCTGTTCACGGCCTGCAGGAGCTTGGGCAGGAGCCAGGTTCCCTGTGGGAAAATGGGAATACCGATAAATCTGCCACAGGGCCGCTGGGGAGGGCCAGGTAGGACTGTCCACCCTCGTGGACAGTGCTCCTTTCTGGCAGTGGCTAACAAGCCCGCCTCCTGTCCCCCACTGTTAAAAAAATCCAGAAGAAACACTCACAACATAAAGCTATGAGTTTTTCAGCGTATGATGTCTTTTGTGGAATTCACAACGCTGTGTTTCATTATCACTTCTAGCTAGATCCAGAGCATTTCATTAGCCACAAAGGAGACCTTACTATACAGTCATCCCCACCCGCTTTCACCCCAGACCCTGGCCACCATATAATATGTGAGCCTTCAGGTCTGGCTTATTTTACTTTGCCAGACATCTTGCCAGGTGCACCCATGTTACAGCATGTAGCGGTGCTTCACTCCTTTTCTCAGCTGAGTAATATTCCACCATGTGGATGTACCATGCATTGATGATCTGCTCGCTAGCCAAAGGCATCTGGGCTATTGGCACCTTTTGCTTCTGGTGATGGATGCTGTTCTGAACTTTCACGTGGAAGTCTTCAAGTATCTGCTTCAGTTCTTTGGAAATAGACCCAGTGGTGTTGCTGGCTTGCATGCTAACTCTGTGCTTAGCTTTTTGAGGAACAGCCAGAGGATTTCCATGCACAGACCCATTTGACAGCCCCCAGCAGAGCCTCTCTTCTCCTGTTCACAGGCGTAGACACAGCTCGCTAGTTCTGGGAGGACCCTGGGGGCACTGACTTCCCGCCTCTAGCTGCACATGTCCTTCTTCCCTGTCCCCAGCGTGCTGTGGACTGTCCTGAAACTGTGCTCCCATCCAGCCTTAGAAGGAGGCGGAGAGGCTGAGAGAGCAGCCTGGGGCCACCCCACTAATGAGCAGCCTAGGAGGACCAAGAGGCAGCCCTGCTGACCTCACCCCGGCCTGTGCCCTGGAGTGCGGCCTGCCCATGCCAGCACCTTCCCGGCAGGCCGCACTGCAGACTGATCCTGATCCAGCCTGAACCCAGTACTGTGGCCTCCCTGACAGGAACACTAAATGCGCAGCACCGCGGGGTGGGGTGGGTGGGTGTTGCTCTGCAGGGGGTACCCCCCCAGGTCACAACCCCCACAACAGGCGCCGTCACTGTTGAGCAGTTCCCCTTCCTTTCACCTTCAGGTCTGTTTTCTGAGTGCAGCCCCTGCCCTGCCCCCTACATTCGGCTCTTGTCCAGGTCCTGTGTGTTTCAGGTGTCAGCGCCATGTGGACAGCTCCTGGCTGGGAATGCAGTGCTACCACCCTGATGAGGAAACTGAGGCTAGGGTGCCCTGCAACCTGAGCTCATATCCCTGTAGCTGCCACCGTCTGGACTCAGCCACCCTCACCCAGGCTCCCCTAGTGACCCAGTCTCCCGCCCATCCTCCACACTGTCCTCACAGCTGCTGGACAGATCTGCTAAAACACTGAGCTCGGTACCACCCATGCTCTGTGCTATCCAGTTCTCCAAGTGTGGACAAATTCAGAACCCTGGGTCTAGCACCTACTGCCAAAGCCAAGGGTCGGTCCCCAGCTAGGCCCTGTGCCCCCCTCCACGGTCCCCCGCCAGGCCGCCATGGGCCTTCACTCCATCCTGAGGGATTTCCAATAAGGCGAGGCACCTTCCTGCCCCTTCATTGCAGCTTGCACTGGAGATAAAACTCAGAGGCCCCGGGTCCCCTGCCCTTGCCCACCTCTCCATCCCCGCCACACTCTCCAGACCACCCAGCCATCGTGCTGCAGGGTGGGGACACCGCAGGCTCCCCGATGGCCTCTCCCTCCTGGTGGCACCTCCCAGGGCCCACCCAGCACCTGAGAGACTTCCCCGTCATGGCCGTGAAGGTGCCCTCACTGGCATGGGGCTCTGTGGTGGATGTCCACCACGCCGGATGCTGGGTTTGCTTGTTTTCCCGAGCCTGCTGTGCGTGCAGTGAGGGTGGGGCTGTGGCTGAGCTGCCTGCTGTCCTCAGGGTGGCTCACACACGTGCTCCATCAACACTGGTGGGTAGAGGAAGGAAGGCTGCTGATGGCATGGACTGGTTTCTGTCTGACCCCAATCTGCACCCTTTTCATTACACTTTGTATTTCCCCGTGTTCTTATCTGTCTGTGCATCCACCATCCACCCTCCACTATCCATCCATCCACCATCCATCCATCCATCCATTCATCATCTTTCATCCATCCATCCATCCTCCACCCACCATTCTCCCACCTACTATCCATCCACCCACCCACCCACCACCCATCCATCACTACCCATCGACCCACCCATCTGCTATTCATCCATCTACCATCCACCATCCATCCACCCAACTACCATCATCCATCCACCCATCAACTATCCATCCACTATCCACCCACCCATCCACCCACTCATCCACTGACCTCACTCAGAAGCCGGTCCCTCTTTCTTGATGTCAGAATGAACCCCCTCACCCTGGGAGGCAGGGCAGGAATTTCTAAGTCCCTCCCTAACCTGCTGGCCCTGGGAGGCAGTAGCACTACTGGTTGAATCCATGAACAGAGAGGGCAAGGAGCAGCCCAGGGTGAGGGGCGCCTCTGAGGAAAGCTACCTGGCAGAAGTTGGAGGTGGGGGCAAGTGTGATGGCCCCTGGCACTGGGCCATCATGTGGGCATGGGGTGGTGGTGGTGGCTGGGAGGGTCTCAGGATGGACGGCACGGGCAGAGGGGGCACCAAAATATGGGTGATCCCTCTGCCAGTGGAGAGCCTGGGGCCCCCTCTTCCTTGGTGGGACGGGACAGGGACCATTGTGGGAGTTGTAGGGGGCAACCAGCCCTACATGGGGTGAGCCTGTACAAGCACATCCTGTTATTCCTGCCCCATAAATAGTCACCACCTTCCTAAAAATGGCCCTGCCATGAACCCGAGGAGTTTGGGGTGGGAGCCTGGCCCAGGGTGCTCTGTCGCCAGAAATAGCACAGGGCCCCCCAGCAGCAGAGACCACAGGGGTGGTGGCGGCTGCACTTCCGGGCACCGAGCTAGGCTCTCTTCCCAGCCCAGCATGATTCAGAGAATGAGAAGGTGACCTTTTCCTTTCTTAGGGGCCACTTTTGTGAATCCGGGTTTATTTGGGGACACTGTGAGCAATGTAATGGAAGCAAAAGTGAAATCAGATCGCACTGTGGATACTGACTCTGGGCCTGGCAGAAGGGAAACGGGAAATGAGCAGCTGCTGAATGAACGAACAAACACATTGTCTCCCTGCCCCTGGGCGTACAGGTAGCGAGAGACAGCCGAGGAGACCCAGGCAGGTCCACGCATTCAGGGATGGCCCACCCCTGAGAATACACCCTGCTGGGGTGCCCTGGAGGGGTGGCTTGGATGGCACACAGCCGGCGACGGTGCCCCAGATGGTCTTGGAGCTGCTTCGGAGGCGCGACTGCTGCCTCAGTGAGCCGCTGACACCATGCTGCCCCGGTCCAGCTGCTGCCATCCTCAGGGACAGGCTTTGGGGCTCTACTCCCCATCACGCTTCTGAGGAGTGCTGGCCACCTGCACGCACCCCAGTGTAAGAGCCTGGGGGAGGCCTTGCTGCCCCCTAAAACTTGTTGGACAGGAAACGGTGACCGACAGGGAGAGACATGCTCTGCCACTCCCGTCAGACGTCCCATGCCTGGGCCACGCCATCACGCATTGCCACGCCCAAGCCTTTGTGTCTGCAGCTCTCTGTGCTTGGTATGAAACTCTATTTTTCGAGGCAGGGTCTTACTGTGTAGTCCAGGTTAACCTCAAACTGGCGATCCTCCCGCCTCAGCCTCCCAAGTGCTGGGGTTACAGGCATGCGCCACCACAGTCAGCTCAACTCTGCATATCTTTGCACACAAGACTTCTAGCAAGTCTTGGTGCCAGTCCTCCAGAGGTCCCTCAGTTGGAAGGAATGTTTCTGTCCTCCAGCCTCTCCCAGCCCAGTGTTGGCCTCTCCATGGGGACAGGGCTACAAGGTCTCTGCCCACCCTGAGGGTTGCAAAACCCCTTGCCCCCTCTGCTGCCTGCTCAGTGCCTGCCCAGCACTGCCTGCAGCTATTCCCACAGCACAGCTGGAACAGGGCCGCCCTTGTGCCCCAGCCTGGTCCTCCCATGGCTGAGCATGGAGAGGCTTAGTGGGCCCAGCCAGGTTTCAGGGTCCCTGCTCCAGTGGCAGCCCCTCCAGGCTCCCAGGGCCAGCTCCCCGCTTAGATTCCCCTTCTCGCTATCTCCCAGCTGTGCCTTTTGGAAGGCTGGGCCTCCCATGCCTCAGGGACCCCTCTGTTCTGCTGCTTGGCTGGAAGGCGGGTCCTCTGAGGTGGTACTTCACACCCCACCTCCTGAGACCTGCCCAAGACCTGCTGCCACCTCTCCAGCTACGCCTTCCTATGACGAACCCCACACCCATCACCACTGGAGTAGTTACACCAGGAGAGGCAGGGTTCAGGAAGCCTGGCTCCTTTTTTTCTAATTAAACTTTTGTTTTTATCAACAGCCATACTCATTCTCGCAATTAAAACACCATATGATGATCTCAGGTGTCAAGAAAGAAAAATGCCTCTGCTCCTCCCTTCGTTGGACCCCGCGGGCAAGGCCTCAGTCCCACCTGCTAGTATGGCGATGCTGGGACCTTTGCATCTGTTCCTGCTGACACTGCCCTCCAAGCCACAGGCCACGCTTCTCTTGTCATCACTGCCGGCAGTTGATTTGCCAGGAGCAAGCATGGACGTGTGTGTGCAGTGGTGTGTGTGTGTGTGTGTGTGTGTGTGTGTGTGTGCATGTGTGTGTTTCACTTGCTTCCTCTCCTGTTCTCCCAATACAATGATATAAAATTATTCTGCATTAGCAATCCGCCGTCATGTCATGGTGCCCACATCCTAGGGAATAGCGTGGAGTGGAACACGACCAGGGCTCTATGTTGTTGACCTGGGGCTGCTGGAGCAAAGGACCCCAACTTGGAGGCTTGAAACATGTTCTTGCACCACTCTCCAGCTTCTGGTGGCACCCGGGGCTCCTGGAGTCCCTTGGTTTCTGGCCATGTCACAGCCGTCTCTGCATCCTTTTGGTGGCTTTCCCTCCATGGGGGCAGAGTCTCTCCCTCCCTCTGTTCAGGATGTTGGGGCCACCCCCATAATCCAGAATAACTTCCCATCTCTAAACCCTTCATCACACCTAAAGAGACCCTTTGCCCAAATGAGGTCACATTTATTATTTCCTGACAAGCTCTTCCCTTCCATTTCCTTTTTCCAGAACTCCTATCTTCAAACTTTGAATCAGTTGGACCGGGTCTCTTAACTCTTAGATTTATTTTTTAACTGGTATTCTTTGTCATTCTCTTCCTCTCCCCCTCTGTCTCTTCCTCTTCCATTTAATTCTTCCTGGACCATTTTTTAATATCTCCCCTTCTTTTGAAAATTCAACCTTCAGTTACATTTTTAAATAGCTTTATTGAGGTATAAATGACATATACAAAACTGCACACCATTAAAGTGCAAAGTTTGGTAAATTTCGTATACACATATGTTCTTGAAACCATTCACATAATCAAAATAGAAAACAGAGTCCCTTAGTCCCTTCCTCACCTTCTACTTTCCAGCACCTTCTGCCTCTATAGGCTCATCTTCATCATTCAGAGCTCTATGGAAATGGGATCAGACAGTATTTACACTTGTTTTGGTCTGGATTTTTCTCTCAATATAATTATCTCCTCCCTTTTTTGGTACCAGGGATTGAACTCGGGACAGTGTGCTTGTGAGGCAGGCAACAGCACCACTAAGCTAAATCCCTGTCCCTTGGTATAATTATTTCAAAATTTATCTATATCGTGTGTATCAATTCATTTTTTTGGGGGGGAGTCAGGTAGAGTAGATGGATGTCTCAGTCTATTCTCTATGGCTATAACAAAATGCCTGAGGCTGAGTAATTTATAAGAAAAAGAAATGCATTTCTTATGGTTCTAAAGGTTGGGAAGCCCAGGAGCGTGGCACAGTATCTACTCAACATCTGAAGAAGGCCCCCTTGCCAGCTTAACACAGGAGAAGGTTTCACTTGGTGACACAGCACCAGTGCCAGAGAAAACCTGTTCTACAACCCAGCCCCTTCCCAGAGTAGCCCATTCATTAATCTATTAACCCCAGAGTGGATTAATCCAAGCAGGTGGGTGGAGCCCTCAGACCCGATCACTCCCACCTCTTGGGCACCATTAACACACGACTATGTGCACTAAGTTTCAACACATGGAATTTGGAAGACTGGAAACCCTAACACGGGCTGCCGACACCGCCCGTCCTTACACGTTAATGGGAAGCGGATTGTCTCTGGTGTGGGGTTGTTCTGAAGAAAGCTGCTGGAATTTCCTGTGCTGCTGTGTGTGCAGCCGCATTCCTCTCCTCTCCCTAAATGCCTGGGAGCCGAATGGTTGCGTCGCGTTGTAGGTAAATGTTTAACTTTTTAAGAAACCACCAAACAGTCTTCAAACTGCCTGCCCCCTTTCACATTTCCACAGCAGTTGTGACAGTTGCAGGGCTCACGCTTGTGCCAGCACCTGGTGAGGTCAGCCTTTTCCATTTTAGCTGCGCTGCGTGTGTAAGTGGAATCTTGCTGTGAATTAATTTGCATTTCTTTCCATCATCTGTCTGCCTTAAGTGGCTGTTCAGTCATAAGCCTTTTAACTGGTGTGTTTGTTTCCATTTCAATAAGCTTGAGAGTTCTTTACATCAGACAGATGTATGGTCTGCAAAGATTTCCCTCCTAACCTTTGTTGTGACATTTTCAGTGTTAAAGGAGCCCTGCTTATTTTCCTTTGCTTTTGTAAGCCCGCTGTTCTTGTTTAATGGGTGGCATATCTTATCCTTGTAGGATATTAATTATGATTTTGTTAAGTTCTTCCATTTTCCTGTGCTTCTCTTCTTTGGCCTTTTAGCTTCCTCTTAGCTTCAGGTTAGTGGCTTTTCTCAAATGTTCAGCAGCCCTGGCTCTCTGTTTACACTGCAGAGGAGCTGGGAGCTGAGTGTGGTGGCCCATGCTGGTAAGGCCAGCACTGAGTAGAACTCAGCAGCACCTTAAGGACCTCCCAGTCCACCTGGCCTTTCTCTTTTCCCAATTGGATCCTGAGAAGTGTGTGAGTTTGCTGGAGCTGGCTGGATGAAGTGCCGTAACTGAGGTTTAAGCTTCAGAAACGTGTGGCCTCACAGTGCGGGAGGCCAGAGGGAGCAGGTCAGGGTGTGCACAGGGCCATGTCCCCTCTGAGGGCACTGGGAAAGGGTCTGTCCCAGGCCTCCTCCGTGCTGGCTGCTCCTGGGCTTGGAGCAGCTGTGCCTGGGTGTCCA